CCTCTCTCATCTTTTTAAGTGGGAGAACTTGTACAATTGGTGGCTGACTAAATACTTTTTTCCCCCACTGTAATTACCGTTAATCCATTCTGGCGTCCGCAGACCACGTGTCAGGGGCAGGAAAACGGCCGGGCGCCGGACGACGCAGCAGGAAAACGGCCGGGCGCAGTGCGGCGGGAAAATGGCCGGGCACCGCGCAGCAGGAAAACGGCCACGGACCACGTGTCAGGGGCAGGAAAATGGCCGCAGACCACGTGACAGGGCGGAAAAATGGCCGTACCCCGAGGCGGAGGTCACACATCAAGGTAAATTTTTGCGGGCAGAGCTGGTCGTAACCCAAAAAGTTCGTTAGTAGAGGCGTTTGTATCCCGAGGTACCACTGTATTACACTTGCTGAATAACAGTATATTAGCACATACATCCACAACTCTGCAGACTCAAAGGAGGTTGTCGTGGGCAGATAGGGAGAAGAACAAGGCCTGGAGGGTGCTTGGAGGTTGAGGCTGGAGTGGGAATTGTCTGCTAGAGATGGGAGAATGGAAGTGGCAGGTGGGACTCAAGAAGTAGGATGTGGTTGTCTCAAGAATTAGAATGCAAAAACAGGAAGGCTGTGGCCACTGGGAATTGATGGTGAGCAGAACGTTAAGAAGGATCTAGGGACCAAAGTCTGGCTTCCTGTGTGTTAAGAGTCCACTGGAGGTGGGCAGCTATAACAAATGTGAGCAAATAAATACGGTTAGATCAGCGGGACAAGCTGAGGGTCCTGGTGGCATACTGGATGCCCTGCTGTCCACTAGGATCCCTGCCCAAGACTCCTTGCTTGTGGCAGGCAGGTGGGGGGTGGGGACATTGGACCAGGAAGGGCTTGGGAATCCATTGCCTATTAGTAGTTTGTCCCAAGTGATCTCCCACCCAACGTATGGAGGCAAACACACTCTGGACCTCATCTTTGTCTTGGAACAGTTGTACGGTGATGTGGCTATAGACGGCATTAACGTCTAACGCTTTGCCGGGGTCAGATCACTTCCTGGTCCGGGTGAGGTTGACCGCCAATTAGGACGGTCCACCCTTAGAGCTTCATGGATCTGGATACATTCCGGCACTCTCTTGAGGGGATTCCCAATGTTCTTAAGAGCAGTTCCACCGCGTGACTTCCCACTGGCGTCCGGAGGCCCCCTGGATGTTTGACGAACCACACCCCAACAGCCTCCCTCTGTGCACCGATTCCAGACGGGAATGCGATGGGCTGGCTCTGGGAGGGGGCCAACACCTTGCTTCGTAGGGTGGGGAATTGCCAGCAACCCCGAAGGAGGCTGCAGTGCCCCGCTTCTTAAGAGGCCCTCGCTGGACCAAGCCATCCTCGATAACGCAGCGCTCCGTCCCCGGGAAAGGAAGACCGCGGTTGCTCTAGAGGAAGCGGATCGCCTGGGCCTCTTCAGCCTGGCCGTGGGACGGAGACAGGGCGGGGCGACCGCTGCCGGGCTCCGGAGGGAGGCGGCCCGGCCCTCCCGGTCCCTTCAGCGACCAACGCCGCTGACTGCGCTGTCCTTCTGAGCAGCCCGCGAGGGCG